CTTGGAAATAAACCACCTGGGGAGGAAGAGTATTTTCTCCCTAACACGTATTGTATAATATGTTTCTGGACCTGCCTTGAGTGCTTCCCATTAAGCCCCCTATAAGGCCTGGGGGAGGCAAATGTTAATAGCCAGGTTCAGCTTTCTCCTCTCTTTCTAAACTATTGTCTCCCAAGTCACTGTTAGTCCTTTACGCTGAGCTTAGCACATCCCTTTTCATCCGTCAGCTGCCACGGGTTTTGTGTGCACAAGAAAGAAAGAATCATGTAAATATTCCAAGATGTGCAAGATAAACAAAACACCAGCCAAAACCACAGGCCACGGGACAGTGCCAGCTCTGTTTTTAATGAAATGAGACAATATTTTCGGCTTGGATCTTGGTTTGAAAGGTTGCTGAGTAGCTCCAATTTTTTCTACATATTTCTGAGGCTTCATCAGACTGAAAGCAGAGGTGGGGAAGCGTGTTGCTCTTCACATGTTGTTAGGCTCAAACTCCCATCAACCTCACATAGCATAGCCAAGAGCAGGAGATGTGATCCAACAACTTCTGGACAGGCACAGTTTCCTATTCTGTGTTTTCAGGGACTGCAAAGATTGTCTGCCATCTTTAAAAAGTAGACACGTATTTAAAGAAAAAGGAAACAAATACTATCCAAACGGCATGTGACATAACCAGTTTTGCTGGAAAGAGCTCAGACTCACAGGTATTGCCGTGTTCTGGAAGAAATCTCAATCTTCACGTTTCGTTTGGATGGTGGAAGAAATAAAATCGGTTAACACTTCTAAGACATAGCTGGCAGTCTTTGGATGGACAACGTCCTGGAAACAGAACATCTTGCTTCAGCTGTCAACCATTTGCTAGTTAATCAGACCTTTGGAAACATGATTTAGTCTAGTTGCCTACAAAATGGCTTTTCTTGTGACAAGCATCACCATTTCATTCTCATAATGTTTTGAGAAGGAAGGAAGAAAGAAACTTTTGCACACTCCACCAGAATATAAAAAAAGCCCAGCTAGAACAGAGTAAGACCATCTTCTTCCTTCCCACAATGGCCAACTCGCTACCTGGTGGGAAGCTAAGAGGCTTGGTCGGTATCCTGCTCCTGCTTGGCTTTCCAGCAACAAGCCACTCAGACTGTTTCCTGAATGGTTTTCTCCCCCCAACCCCACATATCAGCAACACCTCTTTGTGGCCATAACAGAAGCACACCCTTGCGCCCAAGCTGGGAACTGGGGTGGAGCCCAGCTGAGGGGCAGCTGTCAATCTCCAGGGATCCTCCACTTCTCCCCTTAAGATGTGGATGGCCTCTTCTCATTGTCTCCTTGTTTTCCCCGGCTTTTCCAAGATCTTCTTGTTTTCCTTCAGAAAACATCTCGGCCTACTCTTTTCCTGTGGTCAAGGCTGGCAGGAGTTGATAGGAGGGGAATTTTTCCCCATCTGAACGGGCTGGGAAGGTCATGACTGTACATCTGGGCTTGGTGCTTTCAGACCACGTTTCCAAAGAAGGAAAACTTTCTGACGTGAGTGAACTAGAAGCTGTACCTTTCTCACAGAGAAACTCAAACACTTTATTAACCCCAATCCTCTTTATTAACCCCTACCTCGCTGCCTTGGTTGCTTGTCCAGTGTTGCTTCTCAAAGAATAGGGGATTAAGATGTGTGCTTTAGGAGAAGTTTATTCGCCTTTGTTCCTCACTTTTGAGAAGAAACGAAAGATTCACTTGTCCTTTCCAATCCTGGATTTTAGATTCCTTTCTGATTTTTTACTCTCTGCTTCTTTTTCTTTTCCTATAGCCAAACTTTACTTCATTTATATGTTTCTATGGTGCCTGTCATTGGATTCCCCCAGTTTTCTTTCACCCACAAGAGTTTGCCAGCATTTTGTGCCCATTTTTACACCCAAGGCTTATTTAGCTGAATTTCAGAGTTTTCCATTTTTTTAATGATGTTATGTGTTATACTTTCTTTACACTTTAGGGTTTTCCTAAACTTTATCACATCATCCTTTTAGGTGCTTTTTCTTATTATGGAACATTATTATAGAAGATGCCCACCTTATGGAACATTCTCCCTCCAGAGATTAGGTTGGCCCCAGCCCTGCTGGCCTTTCATAAGGTCCTAAAGACCTGGCTCCGGCCCCGGGCCTGGGGCCCTGAGTGGGTGAAGGGCCCTATTTCTTGGTTGTGTTAGTGATCTGGACTGTTGTTTCCTTGACTGCTTGTATTTTTTATAATATTTGTAATTGTTTTTATTTTATTTTAATTCTGTTCGCCACTCAGAGTCACTTGCTGAGATGGGTGGCCATGTAAATTGGGTAAATAAATAAATAAACAATTGAGTATTTTATTTATCTTAGCAAGTTTTGGAGAAAGAAATAGAAAAAGAATACAAAATACAACCCCCCACCCGAAAAAATACCGAAAAAATACAGCTAATAGAAACAAACGAAAAAAGTGGCAAAAAAGGGGGAAACTATGGCACATATTAATCAAATATCAAACAAATTTCTAAATCTACATTAAAAGAATAAAAAAACGATTCTCCAACATTACAAGAACATAATAATGTTTTTTCTTGGACTAAACTTGCAGTCTTATTCAGTGCCACAAGTTATTGTTGTATGCTAGGTGGTGTTCATGAACAGTATTTCCTCTATAATTCAAGGGAACATCTGTCAATATTGACCAGAATGTAGACCTGATCATCTTCATGGCTGACCATATGGATTTATCGAAATGAGTGTTTTCGAAAAGCAATTATTCTTTTCCCCAGATTAATTGATTTATTTTTAAATTGAAGGAGGTTTTGAAACCGGAATTGTACATGCTCAGGTTACAGGGTATCTTCTCCATTTCTTTCCTGACCTGAACATTCGGGGGGAGGCGGGACAAGCCTGATGCAGTCTGTGGAGCTTCTGAGTTGTACTGCACGGCTGCTTTTGTATAGCACCTAAGCTGCAGGGCAATCCTTGAGCATATTGACTCAAAATGATACCCCACGGGGTTCGATGCTCATCTGGAAGTGTGCGTAAGATTTCAACCTCAGTCTGGTAGGTGGAGTGGTGCCTTTCTCTTCTCTTCTGTTCCCTTTTAACCAAAAAGTTAAGTGAGCCATCACACCCCCTGTTGACCATTCAAGGAATGATGGCCCAAATGATGTCAGTATACTCCCTTGCTATTTATCTTACTCTAGGACTTGTTTGGTGTATTTATCATACTCTAAAGCCAGGCTGGTGTAGTGGTTCAGGCACCAGGCTAGAAACTGGGAGACTGTGAATTCTAGCCCTGCCTTAGGCACGAAGCCAGCTGGGTGACCTTGGGCCAGTCTCTCTCTCAGCCCTGGGAAGGAGACAAGGACAAACCACTTCAGAAAAACCTTGCCAAGAAAACTGCAGGGACTTGTCATCAGGAGTCAACACTGATTTGAAGGCCCACACACATACACACACCCCAAGTCCTTTGAACAAAGATGTGGATATTATGTAAACTGTTGATGACTTTGTAGAGTCCTTGGGGTTCTCTGAGCTTGGTTGTTTTCTTGCAAAC